CTGGTCATTGTGTTAATCAGAATTCTTAAGTCTTTCAAAGTTTTTTGTCTTCACAATATTGTTGTTATTGTATAAATTGTTCTCCTGGATCTGCTCACTTCGCTTTGCATCAGTTCATATACATCTTCCCAAGTTTCTCTGAAACCATCCCCTTGTCATTTCTTATAGCATAATAGTATACTATCACATTGATATGCCATAACTTGCCCAACCATTCCCCAGTTAATGGGCACTCCCTCAGTTTCTAATTCTTTGCCACCATAAAAGGGCTGCTATAAATATTTTTGTACATATGGGTTCTTTTCCTCTTTCTTTGATCTCTTTGGGGTACAGACCTAGTAGTGGTATTGTAGGTCAAACAGCACACACAATTTAATAGCTTTTTTAGGCAGAGTTCCAGATTGCTTTCTAAAATAGCTGAACCAGGTCACAGCTCCACCAACAGTGCATTAATGCACATATTTTCCCCCAGCACCTCCAGCATTCTTCATTTGGGGGAAAGTATTTTTGAGTGTATTTTATTCCCTTGCCAATATCCACTCTGACCAAAGTAGAGACTTTGAGAGCAAACTACTTGAGGAAATGTTTGCTTTGACAAGTATCAAAAACTACGCCATACCATCCACAAGAAGACTCCAGTCTGAATGGTTTAACTGCACGTGGTTAGACAGAACAAAAGTCTCAACAAAAAAGTCAGTATGTGCTATTTCTAACACATGCATAGAATTCCACCAGGAATTATGCTCCAGGCTTTTTGCCGTGCTCATAAGAACCACACCTACCTATTGACTTGTATTTTGGTACCTCAGATGAAGGAGGTGATGCTACTCACAGTGAGTGCGTCTTTCATTTGACAGAGAATCTGAGAGGTCTCAGATCAGAAGCTGTGGCAGAAACAAAAGACAGTGTGCTAGTATATGTCATCAAGACTTTCCACAAGAAGACAGAGTTCTGTTGAGAAACCTTGGCATTCAAGGGACTCACAAGTAAACTGACTGATGGAAAGCTAATTCATACAAAGCTGCTGAGAGACCTGGAAACTTTCCTTCTTGCAAAATGGCCCCAGAAAATGGAAGGAGTCCTATCAAGAGCATTCATCACAAGCACCTATTGCTCATTGACAAATTAGTTGGACTTTCTAAAGAGCAGGTGGAGAGAACTGATGTATACTCAACTCAGAAAATGTTAAGCAAAAGAGAGTATCCACTTGTTATCCAGAAACTTTCTGACCTAGATATGGGTACTAAGAGTGATGATTCAAGTGAGGAGGAGACTATGGTTCTAGTATGTGGCAGAAAGGACAGGTAGGTGGCACTGCAGGGGGTAGAGCACCAGGCCTGGAGTCAGGAAGACCTGGGTTCAAATATGGCCTCAGACGCTTATAAGATCCCTGGGCCAGTCACTTATCCCTGTTTGCTTCAGTTTCTTTATCTGTAAAATGAGCTAGAGAAGGAAATGGCAAACCAATCCAGTATCTCTGCCAAGAAAACCCCAAATGGGGTCACAAAGAGTGGATATGACTCAACAACAAAACATGAGGCAGAAGATCTGGACCAAGAATCATGTCTTTTCTTCCATAGAGCTGGTACTATAGAGACTTCTAGGGCACAGATACAAGAGAGCATGAACATACTGATGCCAACCCACCCCTGCTGTCAGCCTAGGTGTAGACAAACAAGTCAGTCCTTACCATTTACTAACTCAAGTATAAGAGTAGAGAAACTGATCAGAAACAAAGGAACTAGACCCATCAGACCAGTCACTAGATTAACTTGTGATGTTGTAGGTGTACCTGAAGAAATAGTTATACACTTATCCAGGCAACAATGCAGGATTCCCTATGTGATATGTGCCTTGCCTATAATTGCATGTGTTCATTGCTACACATGTTAAGTATAACATGTTTGAGTATACTTGCTCATTATTTGGCTCTTAAGTTCATGTTTCTATGTTTTGTGTTATGTTCATACTATAGCAATATCTGATAACTGTTTTGTGTATTCACTAATGTTTTTAGTTAAGTTGTATTTTTATTTAGGCCTATTGGTAATATTATTGTTGCAGCTAGCTAGCTTTGTTTTGTTAATCATTCTTTGCTTTGGTGTTTTTTATTACTTGCTCTGTACCATGGATATGCATGTGTTCTTGACCTGTGTATGTGCTAGGTCCTGTGTGTAACATCTCACTGTAGCACTGTCAGGTGATACTCCGTATAGTGTCATGTCTATTGTATGGATTGCTAATGCACATTTGTTTTCTTTTGTTTTCAGTGGTATACTAGTTTGGTTACCTGGGGTGCCAGGAAAATTGTCATTGTTGTTTTAAAGTGCTCATGTTTGTGTTTATGCCATATAGTTACAGGTTTTGAGCTTGCACCCACCGGGTTTTGCAAGGGACTACAAAACGTTTCAGCCCAGGGGAGGAATGTAACCTAGCCTGGGGTGTTTTCCATGCTGCTGTATATGTGAAAGAAAACATGGCTCCAGATCACTGAAGAGAATACTGACTGACATATGACAATAAGTACTTGTATAAGGAGAGTGGAATTGGTGCCAGATTGTCTTGGGGAAGAGACATGGTGGTTCCAGACATATAGGGGAAGCCAGCTCAACATTTCCCTGATCTCCAGCTTGCCTTCCTAGAGACTGCAAAATGGACCTCCTTGGATGAGATCAAGCTCTCTTGGTTGGAGTTGAGATTTCATCTCACCCTCACCTGAATAGGTCATTCAAGTACCACCACAGGGTAGTACTCATCTATAATCCTGGCCACCAGGGAGGCTAAGCCTGGAAAATCTCTTGGGCTCCAGAGTCCTGAGGCTGTGCTAATTAAGTGTCTACACTGAATTCAGTATTAATATGGTGAGTTCCAGGGAGTGGGAAGCCACCAGGTTACCTAAGGAGGAGTGAAACAGCCCAGGTCATAAACAGAACAGGTCAAGGCTCCCATGCTGAACAGTAATGGGACCAGGCCCTCCAGTAGCCCCTGTGCTTTCAGCTTGTGAGAGATAGGGAGATTCAGTCTGAAAAATTGTTTTTTAATTGAAAAATCAAGAGTTCATTCACTCACATATTCTTTGATATAGTTTAATTTGCATAACTTCTCCAATTTCTGTTTTCTATTTGCTTGGACAAATCTATTTATTCACTCTTTACTATCTATGATGGTCTTTTGTGTAACCAGCATTTGATGAGAAAGAGCTAAGCTGGCAAGTGTAATCTAAAGGCTAGCTTCCCCCTTAAGAGTGACTAGGGTAGGGGCAGCTAGGTGGCACCTGGCCTGGAGTCAGGAGCACCTGCGCTCAAATCTGGCCTTAGACACATAACACTTACTAGCTGTGTGACTCTGGGCAAGTCACTTAACCTCAATTGCCTTGCAAAAGAAAAAAGAGGGGGCAGCTAGGTGGCGCAGTGAATGAAGCACTAGCCCTAGAGTCAGGAGGACCTGAGTTCAAATCCAGCCTCAGACACTTGACACTTACTAGCTATGTGACCCTGGGCAAGTCACTTAACCCCATTGTCTAGCCACGAAAAAAAAAAAAGAAAAAAAGAGTGACCAGGGCAACAGCTTTCCTTCTGAACCAGACTTAGAATCCTATACTACCAATATTTGAAGAGACAGATAGATATAATTTTTGCCCAATATCCCTCTTTGAGATAGTCAAAGGAAGGAGTCACGGCCTTTCTTCTGTTCCCTCAAAAAGGAAATTGCAGTCTCACTTGAAGAGGGGGAACCAGATCACAGAGCCATTTAGATGACCCATGTGGCTATCCCTATCTTACGTGGCCATACATATCTCACATGGGCATGTATATCTTACACTCTCATGACAGCCCATTCTGGTTTTGGATAGCTTTGACTTAATAGCCTTTCTTTACATAGAAACTAAATCTGCCTCTCTTCAGCTCCTTCCCACCCACCCACCCCTCCTGCCCCACTACCACCACCACCGTTGCTCTGAGTTCTCCTCTGGGGGCCAGGCAGCCTCAGTCTAATCCCTCTTTCACACTATGGCTCTTCAAATTTGGAAAACCAGCTATCATGTCTCCCTAGGCTTCTCTTCCTTAGGCTAAGTGCCCTAGTCCCTTCAAATAGCATGGTCTCCAGGTCACTTATCATCCTGGTTGACTTCTAGACCTATTTCACTTTGTCTGTCCTTCCTAAAATGTGATGCCCAGAAGTAAGCAGAATATTCCAGGTGGGAGGGACCTTAAAGGCCATCTTGTCCAAGCTCCTTATTTCATAGAGGAGGAAACTGAGGCCCAGAAAGGTTGTAACCACCAGGGAATACATGGCAAAATCAAATTTTCCAGCCCAGACCCCCTGACTCCAAATCCAATACTTCTTTCCATCATACCACACTTTCTCCTCCAAGTCCAACCCCCCTCATTTTATAGATGAGGAAACTGAGACATCCTAAGGGAGTATCTTGGTGATCTGGGGCTCATCATGAGGAGGAGCCTTCCCAAATTTGCCTAGGATTCCTCTTAAATATATGTATTCAACAGTTATAGCTACTGCTTATTAGTATTAATTATTAATATTAATACTTATTAGCACTTAATGTTTGCAAAGCCCTTTATAATTATTATTTCATTTGATTCTCACAACAACCATGAGAGGTAGGTCCTATCATGATCCCCATTTTACAGATAAGGAAACTGAAACAGACCTAATGCTTACTCCTTCCTTTGACTATCTCAAAGAGGGATATTGAGCTAAAATTTTATCTGTCTGTCCCCTCATATATTGGTAGTATAGGGGTCTAAGTCTGGTTCAGAAGGAAAGCTGTTGCCCTTCTTAGCTCTTTCTCACCAAGTTAAGTGGCTTACCCAGGATCACATAGTTAGCAAGTATGTGAAGTGGAAACCGAACTTAGGTCTTCTTAACCCCAGGCCCAGCACTCTATTACACTGTTCCAGCTAGTTACTAAAATGTCACTGAATGTCCCCAAGTACACTGGTCACAGTATTCCCAACTTTGTGATTTCTGTTCTCCCAATGCAGGCGAAACATATGAAGAGTCAAAGTCCCCCACACCTTCTCAGTTGCCCCATCGACCAAGACAGATCCTCTCCCACCAAAGATGAGGGCTCCAGCGACAACCCCAGGCAATCAATCAGTGAGATTAGCCGAAGCCTCCAGGATAATGTCAAACATCGCATCCTGTACTTGTCAGAGCAGCTCAAAGTGGAGAAAACCAGCCGCGATGAGAACACAGTAGGCTACCTCAAACTAGTGTCCAAAGCTGACCAGCAGCAGGCCACTCACATTAGACGAGCCTTTGAGAAGGTGAACCAGCGCTCTTTGGCCACTATTGCCCACATAGAACACAAGCTCCGACAGTATCACCAACAGCTCCAGGAAATGGAAGAGGGGAGCAGGCCCAAGTGCTCATCACTGAAGGAAGAGAAGGCCAACAAGAGCCAGGAACCTGCTGACAAGGCCCCTTTGGTGGGGAACCCAAAGACCAGAGCAGAGGAACCGCAATCCACAAGTCCCCTGGATGTCTTAGAGGGAGATGCGCTGGCTGCTGCCCTCCCACAGGAAAAATCCTCAAAGAAAGATAGCATAGGCCAGCAATGAAGTCTGCTCTCCTTCAAGGTCAAGGAAGAGCTGGAAGATATTAAAAAATCCCATAGCAGACTTGAGCTATCTTCTCAAGCCTTGAGGGTGAAGTACCTGACTGACTTGCAGCTGATTATCAAGTCTCTTCAGGAGGAGAAATATAGGTAAGGCCAAGTCCTTCAGCTTCACCTGCTCATGGCCCTAGCTAAAGGACAGGCCGTTTTCTTTTACAGCCCATCGGTCAGACAGACACAAGCTCATGAAATGTCAGAGCTGGTAGGAACCCAAGACGTGACTTAGAACCCTAAGATCTTAGCTCAGGAAGGCATCTTGGAAGTCATCAAGTCCAGCCCCCTTATCTCACATATGGGGAAGCTGAGTCCCAGAGAGATGCAATGATGAGGTCCAGAAAGGCCTAGAAACTAGCCCCAACCTAGTCAATGATAAATTCAGAACTAGAACCCAGGGCTCTCAACTCCCAGGGAAGAGGCTTTTCCTGCCTTCCCAGACCGCTGAGAATTTTCTCCTACAAATTTTGAGATACATTTAAGGATACTACTTTGTAGGCAAACCCACAGGCTGCCAACCCTGGAGAGCATCTAGGTAAAAATTCTTTCTTGCTTTTTGTAATTTGCAGCCGACAACAGCAGAGCCATAATTAGGATTGCTTGTGCCCGGGACAAGTATACCATGAATTCTGCCTTGGGCAAACTGTCCTCAGTTGAGTAGGAATAGGAAGGCATAGAGGAGTTTGTCTTAGATAGTAGTAGTAATAATAATAATAATAATAGCATTTATATAGCACTTTACATTTTGCAAAGCACCTTACAAATGTTTCATTTCATCCTCACAACAACCCTGGGAGGTAGATGTTATCATTTATCCCCATTTTACAAGTGAGGAAACTGAGGCAAACAGGCTAAATGAAGTCAAGTGACTTACCCAAGGTCACACAGCTAGTGTCTGGGGCTGAGTTTGAACACAGGTCTTCCTGACTTCAGGCTCAGTGCTCTATCTGCTACCTACCATCTGAGAGCTTCCTTTTTAACTAATTAGACTTTCTAATCAGGTGATAAACTAGTTTCTGGACGTTGCAGGACTGCATATGCTATTAGTACCCTCTAAACTCAGTGTCCTGAGGAAAAGCTCTGCTCATCTCATCCTAGTTTCACCTCTGAAGTATAGCAGGCAATTGATGCCTCAGGATGATTTGAGGATTGCTTCTCTGCCCTGCCTGGACCAAAAAGCCCATCATTATAGTCATTTTTCTGGGTTAGACAACAAAGGGGATTTGCTCCAGTTAGGGAGCTATGAAAAATCAGTCAATCAATGTCTTTGTTGAGCACTCCTCTCTAACAAAAAGATACCTGGACTTGGAGTCAGAAGACCAGGATTAAAATCACCGAATTTCCACTTGGACAACTCATTGCCCTCTCTGAGCCTCAGTTTCCTCCTCTGTAAAAAGGGATAGACAGCCTCTAACTCTCTTTACAGATTTAAATCCTCTGATCCCATCTTCTTAGTAGTTCTGTACTATGTCCTGGGGATCTTTAGTTCTTGCCCTCAAGGAGATAATGAGGTAGTTGGGGAGAGATCTAGGAATCAAGATTTGTTAAAAAAAAAAAAGTGTTTGTTGAATTTACAACATGGAATCTAGAAGGCTGAGTAGAAGTGAATGCTCAGGGGCAGCTAGGTGGCACCGGAAAGAGCACCGGCCTTGGAGTTGGGAGGACTGGAGTTCAAATCCGGCCTCAGACCAAACACTTGACACTAGCTGTGTGAGCCTGGGCAAGTCACTTAACCCCCACTGCCTAAAAAAAAAAAAGTGAATGTTCATGTGAGCGTTTTAGACTCCAAGGGGGGTTGGATTTCAGGGATGCCAGAGATCAGTAGAAGCTGGGATAACCAAAGGAGGATGTGGCATGAGTTGTAGCTTCAAAGCTGGTCACGTGAACAGATAGATAGGAGGGAGGATTCCAGGTGAAGGATGATCTGAACATAGGATCAATGATGACAGCCTGACCTCTGACTCACGGCGTCCAAAAGCCGGAATGTGCTCAAGAAATTAGCAACTCACTGGTTCTCTGACTCTTAGAGTCTTTAAATTTTATTTTATTTTGCTTTTTGGTGAGGCAATTTGGGTTAAGTGACATGCCCGGGGTCACACAGCTAGTAAGTATCAAGTGTCTGAGGCCGGATTTGAACTCAGGGCCTCCTAACTCCAAGGCCAGAGCCCTATCCACTGTGCCACCTAGCTGCCCCAAATTTTTTGGTTTCTTGATAGGTATGTTGGACTTTTTTTTTTTTTGCGAGGCAATCCGGGGTTAAGTGACTTGCCCAGGATCACATAGCTAATGGGTGCCGAAAGTCTGAGGTCAAATTTGACCTCAGGTCCTCCTGACTCCAAGCCAGTGTTCTATTTTTAAATTTTATTTTATTAAAAGTAGGGAAAATTATTTCCCCCTGATGCAATGAGGGTAAATGCTGGATTTGGAGTTTGAGGAGCTGGGTTTCTATTTTGGCTCTACTACTTTGTGACTTTGGACAAGTCATTTACCTTCTTTGTGGCTTGTGTTTCTTCTTGTGTAAAATAAGTGGGTTTAGACTGGATGGAGTCTAAGGTCCTTTCCAGGTTGAAAGTTCTCCTTTGTTTTGTATGGGGAAATGGACGCTGGTTGAATTGGGTCTCAGAAGGCATTTTAGAAAGAGGTAGGGTTTTAGTTGATCTTTAAAGGAAAAAAGGGAGGGCAAAGAGGAGCCCAAGTATTTTCCAGGCCCTGGAAAAGTGAACACTTTCCTGATTGTGGTGTTAACTTTCTTTTTCACACGTTAAGGCAAAAAGTGATTGAGGAACAGGTCAATGACCACATGCAGGGGTACCTGGGTGAGATTTCCCATATGAAACAGAACTTGGCCTGCACTGAAGAGAAGATGGTCTATCTGTCCTATGAGAAATCCAAGGAGATATGGGTGAGACCTTTGGGGTGTGATGGGATGGGAGGGAGAGAAATGCATGCCATGGCATTTGTTTCTAGGAGAATGGAGCACAGTGACCAAATACAAAGACTGAGTATTGAAGCCAGGCATTGTTCTAATGCACAGGTTCTAAAGCCAATCCAAATATTCTAATACTCCAAAGGGTCTGGAACCCCCTGGTGTGAGTCACCACTCCACTGATGCGGGTTGGCAATGCCTGCTACTCAGGGGAGTTCTCTGCCGGAGCCCTGGCCCAGGCCCAGGCCCTCCCTCAGGTCCTCTTGCTATTGTAAGAAGGCCAGTGTTTATTTCCAAGTCAGTAAGGCCTCAGCCTTTGGTATACTTACTCTTTTCCATTAGACGCACTTTAGTTTAATGGGTAAGAATATTCTATTATTGTGTGATAGGAAGTGCAGGCTAGGTGTACACTTGGTAGGCCTACCGAAAAGTGGGCGATCAGCTAATTAATTCACCAGCTAGGGAACGTAGGATATCATTTGGGCACCAGGTGGCATTATCCTCGGGCCACCAGCCAAGTGGTTAGTTACCTCAGAGGGTATTGAGTATACGTGGACGGGCTTTTCCAAAGACATTACCCTCACTTCTCACCAGGGGGCGCTTATCCTAGAAACTTTTAGAAACTCCTCCCTGCATAAGCTCTGGACCAGATTCAATACAGATCTAATAGTCAGAGAGACAGAAACAGAGACAGATAGACAGACAGACACACACACACACATAAATGAAATGTATATATATATGGAGGGAGAAAGAAGGGAAGACAGAAAGAGACAGAGACAGAGGCAGACAGAGACAGAGAGACAGACAGAGAAAAGAGCAGGAGGGAAGAAGGAAAGAGAAAGACAGGAGAAAAGAGAAAGGGAGGGAGGAGAGAGAGAGAGAGAGAGAGGAAGAAGAGAAGGAGGGAGGGAGAAAAGAGAAAGGGGCAGGGAGAGAGAAAGGAGTGGGGAGAAGAGAGAAAGAAAAGAGAGACAGAGAGAGGAGAGGGAGGGAAGGAGGGAGAAAAGAGAGGGAGGGAAGGAGAAAAGAGGAGGGGGAGAGAGGGAGAAGAGAGAGAAAAGGGGTGAAGGAGGGAGGAAAAAAAGATCTCTTTGACATATACAAATGAAAAATTGGCTCTGGCTCTCACTCTCTGACTCCGCCCCCAGCCTGCATTTGGGAGATCCCCTTCAGTCCTGCGGCCTCGCTGTATTTCGTATCATTTCGCGAGCAGTCTATACTGCAGCCATGCATACTTTTACTGTACAAAGAACATGAATGAGGCTTGTTAAGGGTTACCCTAGGAAGTGCTCAGCTGAATTACTTTTCCCACCCATTCTCCTGACCTTTTCCCAAAATGGAAAACTTTTAAAATTCCTTCTGGGGATGAGGGTGTGGAGGGTGTGAAAGGATTATGTGCAGGAGTTATGAGTCTGGCACCTCTTTTCAAGGGTCAATGGCCTTAATCAGCCCAGAAAAAGAAATCTTGTAAGGGAGGGGCTTTGTCGGCCCATCAGCTGATCCGGCTTTCATAACACTACCCAGTCTGGCGCCCCGGAGACTGGCTTTGCCCCGGATCTGACTCATGCTGGCACATACTGCCTCTCAGAGCCCTGGTGGGCAGCGCGCATCTTCGCTCTGGGCCTGGGCCTAGATCTGAGCGCTCCCACTATCTACAGTGACATTTGTGCCCCAGAACATCATTCTGAGCCCAAAGGCTGATTGCCTTCTGTGGCCAGCATTGCAGACAGAGCTCACAGTCTGCTTTTCTCCTTCTCGCCAATCTGCACCCCCAAACTCACAGCCGGAAGTCTTTTCAAGGGCAAAAGAAATGGGAACTTGAGAATTATTAGGTCCCTACGCACACATACAGCTTCCTTTTTACCTCCCCCCTCCCCCTCATCACCAATCACCTTCCCCGTCAGCACTTTAATGAAGGTATTTAGGAACACTTGCTTTGTCCCCAAGGCCAAGGACCTGGAGCCTGTATAATCAGTTTGTTTCAGACTGTTCCAAGCCCACAGATTGAATTCCTAACCCCTGCTGTTCTGGTACAGACCTTTGATTTCAACCATGGAAGGAATTTTTAGTGTAGAAAGGTTTTAGCAATATAGCTCCATAAAGGACAAATATGTACCAAAATATTTATAACGGCTCTTTTTGCGGTGGCAAAGAATTGGAAATTGGGGAATAGCTAAATAGGGTGTGGCATATGATTGTGATGGAATTGTTCTCCTGGTAACAAGTAATACAGTTAGGAGAACAATTAATACAATCACAACATTGTAAGGAAAATCAGCAGTGAAAGACTGATCAAAACGATGATCCAACACAGAGGGCTGGTAATGAAAAATGTTCTCCACCTCTGTAAAGAGCTGATGAACTCTGAGTGCAAATTGAAGTATATTTTTCCTTTATTTTTCTTTTCTTTTTTTCGGAACATGGTTAATGCAGAAATACGTTTTGCATCATTGTATATGTATAATAGGAATTGTATTTCTTGCTTTCTCAATGGGTGGAGGAGGGTTAGGGAGAAGGAGAAAATTTGGAACTGAAAATAAAAATTAAATTAAAATCTAAAAAAGACGACAGCCCCATCTATAACCTATGATCTTTGACAATCACCAAGAGCATTTACAGGTTAAGGGATTTGTCCAGTCATGTAACCAATGGGCAGAGACAGGTCTTGAATACAGGTCTTCCTTCCGTCCCTTGGAGCTTGTTAAACTTAAACCCACATGGGGTCTCAACCCACAGTTAACGAAGCACTGAAGGTTCTGTGGATACAAACAGTACCCTAAGGGTTCAAAAGAATATTAAAGGTTGCTTTTGCAGTACTTTGTGAAGCCCCTCCTGAGCCTGAGGGTGTCCTAAAGTCCTTTTGCCCTTTATCTTGAAATACCACAAAACTTCTTCTAAGACCAAAAGAATTGTTTTTTTCTTCCTCATCCTGTGTCATAAAATTTCCCCCGTCTTCCTTATCCTGTCCTTATCTTTAACCACCATAAAACCCTAAAACTACATCATCATTCTGAAACCTCTATATAAGCATAACTCCTCCAAATATCGGGGCCTCAATTAGCTTCCTTGCTGAGGAGCCCCGTGTTGCTTACGAGTTAAATAAAGCTCCTGAATTCTTTCACATCCAAACTGCTCTCTCAAACCTGACCTCAACAAAGGGGTCTAGAGAGAAAAGAGTTTAATAAGCCCTGGACTTTGCCCCTAAATCCCTGCCGGATAGGCAGGCCCCCTTGCTCACAAGGATGAGAAAAAGAGCTGGGTCCCAACAGCCTAGTCCTCACTACTGGAAGCAGCACCCAGGGCGGGTGACCTGGCCAGGGAGCAGGGAGTGAAGCCCCACTGTTAGTCATCATTTCTCTTGTATTTCTCTGCATTCCCTCTGGTCTCTTCCCTCTTAAAAGGAAAATGTGCAATTCAATTCAATTAAATGATTGATGCTTTTCTTCTTACTTCCTTCATTTCCCAGTGACTCCCCCATTCCCAATGGAATCCTCCTTTGTAGCAAAGTGCAATTAAGCAAAACAAATGACCATATTGGCCACACCTAGCAGTGTGCCTGTTGCCCACCACCACATCCTAAGCTAGAAGCAGCAGGCATGCTTCACTATAAGTGACTATAAGTAAGCAGCTATCAAAACACTGCAAGTGTTCATTAGGTGCTCTCTAAGAACTCAATAACATGTATGTGCAGAACTTCTTCGAAGAGGGTCTTCTGACATGTATGCACGTATGTATGTGTGTGTATTTTTGTCATCCTCAGGAGGTGATGGGGACTTTTCATAATCGAATTTCCAAACTGGAGACCCAGCAGCAAACAGACCAACAAGAAATAACGGAGAAGCCCAGAAGCCACTCCCAAGTCTTCCTAGGCAAGTTCATGAGCTTGCTGCTCACTTTGACCACCATTCTCCTCATCTGCCTGTCCACCATCTGCACATGCCCCTTGCCTTTCACCAGATGCCGTCTCCGTTTCTGCGCCATCCTCCTGCTCATTGGGCTGGGGGTGTTCACCTGGCAGAAGTGGTACTCTATCCTGTTCACTTGTTGGCATGAGCGCATCTTATTGAGATTGAAGTTGCATTACAAAGACTCCAGGCCTCTGACAAGTTGGGCTTAAAGGAGCAGGACAAGCCTCCTCAGCCTGGGAATGCCTGCTAGATGTCTCCTTCAGGAATGTCCTGTCCTCTGTTCCCTCTTCCTGCTTCGATGAAGTTTTTCAAAAACTCAGTACTCTCCCCCAAGTTATTTCTGCTCATGCTTCCTGACCCCCTTCCCCCAAAATGGGTGATTCAGAGAAGGGATGGGGTTTTCTACTGTCTACTGGCCTTAGTGTTTAAATATTAAAAGCTAAGAAGTAAGAAATCCATCTCCTTTGTGTTCCCTAGTGCCTCCTCCTTGGACTCGTCTTTGCCCTCTGTTCCACCTCTGCTTTGAGAATGGGATGACCTTGGCAGCCTTAGACTCTGGCTGCCCAGAAAGGGAGGAATGGGGTCTCTTAAACAACTGGAAACCCAGAAGTGGGAAAGCTTCCAGGAAACTAGTATTGGCAACCTTTGTGGCTGGTTGCCTAGGACAGGAGAATCCACACTTTGTTCCACAAAGTTGGGAAGGAAACAGGGCAAGATGAGGGTGGGAAGAAAAGCAAAGACTAAGGCCTGGAAAAGTGGGGATGGCAGGTTTTGTTTCTGTGTGAGGCACAGTTGCTTGTTCTCAGGCCTTGGGGTGGGGGAGGTGGTGGGGGGAGTTTATGCAGGGGCCACAGAGGACACAGAAGAGACCTCTGTCCTAGAGGTGCTGGAAACTTCAGACCCATCTTCCACCTTCTTCCCAAAGAGCTGTAGGATGCAGGTTCGGAACTGGAAGGACAGAAAGCATTAGACAATGTTGCAAAGCAGATCTGTACTTAAGAAAAACTTCATAATCTTTCCTTCTGCCACCACTTTCTTCCAGCCTTAAGAAAACTCGGGATTAGACAGACACCTAGATGGAGTATGTGAGCAACTATCAGAACACTCTAAGTGTTCATTAGAACACTAATGAACCCCATGTTATCAATTGCTGACATTTACATAGCACTTTACATATTATCTCATTTGACCCTCACAACAGCCTTCTGATGAAGAAACTGAGGCTCAGAGAGGTTAAGAAACAGAGGCACACTGCTGGTAAAGGCCAGAGAAGCTGGCCTCCGGACATAGCCAAGGCCATAGCCCAAGGCGGCAGAGAGAGAGCTCCTTAGTGTTCTGTCACCTTGGACAGCAACTGGCCTTGCCTAAAAATGGCCACCTTCATGGCAGTCATGCAAACCATCTCAGGATGTTTGAACACATCTAAGTAACAAAGAAACCTCTAGAAAAAGCCTCAAGGAAGTGGTGCATGGTGTTCCTTCCCCTTTTTCTGTCCTGTTGTTCCTGGGGAAGGTCAAAAGAGGAAGGAAGCATTGAATGGGCCTTTCTCTACTATGCCAACCTCTTCTCCTCCACCCAGAAGAGCGCATTTGGATCCAGTGGGGTTTTTTTTTCTTTTGCCAGTTGACACCTGAGAGGATTTGGGCAACCTTAACTATCTAGACAAGTCCCCTCATCATATATGAACTGACGCCAATATTTTTTTTAAAATTAGCCCAAATGTACGCCAGTCATTCAAGAAATTTCTTAAAATTGTAACTCCACTACATTCACCCCTTTCCCTTCCCCTCCTCATGCTCTCTCTCTCTCTCTCTCTCTCTCTCTCTCTCTCACACACACACACACACACACTGAAAGTAGCTGTGGGCTTCCCTGGATGAATAAAAGCAACTCACATTTATCTATCACTTTAAGGTGTGCAGAGCATTTTACCACATTATCTCATTTAATCCTCACAAGAACCTTTGGGGTAGATGCTCTAATTATCCCCATTTCACAGGTGAGAAAACGGAGGCTGAGAAAGGTTAAATGACTTGCCCAGAGTCATACAAGCTGGAAAATATCAGAGGTGGAATCTGAATCCAGATCTTCCTTGACTCCATAGTGTGGAAAGGCAACATGATTTCTTTAAGAGAAAATGATGCTTCAATAACTTACTAAAGTACTCTGGGGGTTGGGGGGTGGTAAGAATGTGGACAAGGTGAAACAAGCAAATATAATTTGTAAGAGATTTTTCAAAGCCCTTGGCAAGATTCCATGACAGTCTCCACACTGATTCTTGGAGTGTCCCACATCCCTACCTGGAGAAGTGGCCACAATGAGGAGGGTGAACATTCTAAGTATGGTGGACAGCCTGTGAAAAAGTGTGTCATCTAAGGAACACAGGAAATAAGTGCATCAGAGGCAACCATGAGAAAAATTCTAGAAAGATAGTTTGGAACCACATTGTAAAGAGTTTTCCTATAGACAGTATGAAACCTATGAAACTTCTTGAGCAGAGGAGGAGGGAAAAGAGGGAGAAGAAAGCCACTAGATTCTACGATTACTACCGGGACTTCCTAATAACAACAACTAACATTTAGATAGTGCTTACTATGTGCCAGGCACTTTACAATTATTTCATTTGATCCTTACAACAACCCTATGGAGTAGGTGTTAATATTATCCCCATTTTACAGATGAGGAAACTGAGGCAGGCAGAGATAAAGTGACTTGCCCAAGGTCACACAGAAGTTGTCTGAGGTTGCATTTGAAGTTAGGTCTTCCTGACTCCAGGCCCAGAGCTCTGTCCACTGTGCTACCCAGCTGCCCTGATATGAAGGAAGATGATGAAGATTTCAGAATAGCAAGAGAGAGAGAGAAAGGATAGTGTGGAAGTCTATAAAATCTTGAAAGTAATGCAAAGGGTAACTAGGGATTTGTTTTCTAAAGCCTAGAATACTGGACCTGGGCTGAGTCCCTTGAAGTTTGAGAAAGGTAGTTTGGGAGCCATTTTTTCCCAAGGCAGATAGTAAATGCAGGAAGATGGTTTCCCAGGGAAGTGAGATACAAGTCAAAATACAAATCCATTTAAGAAGAATATGCGAGATTACAAAAAGCAATGGGTTTCCCACTTACTACCCATGTGACCTTGAGCAGGTCGCTATACTACTATCCTCTATAAAATGACAGGGTTGGACTGGATGACCTCTAAGGGTCTTTCTAGATCTAAATCTATGATCTTATTTGAAATCAGTGGATCAGGGTGCATAAAAAATTGGCCCAGCGTCTTCTTGATGTAAGCCTGCTATTTCATTGGTACAGAGAAATTCCTGGTAAGGAAAATCCCTCTAACAATGCAAATTAGCATCTTTTCTGAATGCCCTGAAGCACTGAGAGGGTTAGCTCTCTATCTATTATACCAGGTTTATTAGTATTAGTATCAATACTGTTATTTTACTTTCTTTTTCTTGGGGTTTTTTTTTTGGTCTGTGTTTTCTTTCACAACATGAATAATATGAAAATATGTTTTGCATGACTGCACATGTATAACCTTTACCAAATTGCTTGCCATCTCAGGAAGTGAGAGTGGGAAAGAATTTGGAACTCAAAATTGTAAAAAATGAAGGTTAAAAATTGTTTTCACATGTAATTGGGAAAAATAAAATATTAAAATTCCCCCCAAAAAAAGTATTAGTGTTAATATTAGTACAAGTATTATTACCTTGGTGACTTTGGGTACTGCCCCTATCTGAGCCTCAGTTTCCTCATCTGTAAAATAGACAGTCTAGAAGATCTCTTTCAATGCTAAATCTTATGATACTCTGATCCTAATCTATGGCTGGTAGATGTCAACAGGTTCTTGAGGGCTATATATGCCGTAGCAATCATGTACTCCCATCAGTTCTCTGTCCCTGAGCAGATTGTCACATACAAGATAGTGGGTAGCATGGACCAGTGTTTGGTTCAATGCCTTATGGCCCTTTCTGAGGTTGCTCTTACACAGAGTGGCAGGGCTGAAATTTGAAACTAGATCTTGTTGTCCTACTTACCTGTCGGTTCATGAAGACATATATGATGGGGTTGTAGATAGTGGCACTCTTGGCAAAGTAGGCAGGCAAGGATGCTGTCAAAGGGTGGAAGGCGTAGTCAGGGTTGGCCGCTGCAAAGCATGCGAAAAAGGTATAGGGCCCCCAGCAAAAGCAGTAGGCAAGGATCATTACCACCACCATGCGGGACACTTCCCTCTCGGCCTTCTGGGTAGACTCCGATTCCTTCTGTTGCTTAGCAACCTAAGGGAAGGAGGCAACCTATGAGGCACAGACAAACATGAGCCATTGCTAAGACATCACAAATTGGGACAATTGTTCTGGGTCCTGTGCCTTAGGATCTATACTAGGCCCCCTTCTCCCAGCCCTCCCCCCCCAACACACATATGCATGCACACATACATGCATGCATACCAATAACTCAAGGAGTTCTTTGAATTCGAATTCTCATATAAAACATTGATTTTTTTTGTCTTCATCATCATCACTCATTATTTGATCAGAAAATTCATTCAGAGCTCAAAAGAAATTTGGATTTGGGGTTGGCTCCTTGGAAATTGGAAGAAGATGAGACCTTGGCCTTTGAAATCTGTGTTCTGTTCAGGTCTCTCCTCCAAGTAAGAAATATATATCTCCTGAGTGTGGAGGAATAAGAAGTCGCCTCAATTCCCTTTCTAAATTCTTTCCTAGAGCACCTCTGAAGGACATGCCTCTCTCTCATCTAGCATCTTACCATTTCCAGGAGACATCCTGGTGGAGCGGGAAGAACCTACGATTTGAAGGGCTTGAGTTCAAATCCTGACTCTACCACTTGCTACCTGTGTGACCTTAGGCAAGTAAATTCACCTCTCTTAGATTCAGTTTCCTCATCTATAAAATGAAGGACTGGATCAGAGGACCTCTGAGATTCCTTCCAGCTTTAAGTCTGTGATCTTTTGACCTTTCTAGGTGACCTGCACAGAAAAGACCTTGACCACCCCACTCCTTTCCCCACCCCTTGTCCAACCCTTGACCTTGAGTAAGCGACTTTGACTTTCTAGGCCTCAGTTTCCACCTCTGTAAAATGAGGGAGCTGAACTAGATGACTATGTTCCTATGGTTTAGATGACACTCTATGGCTCCTGACAGCTCTGAAGCTTTCAGATGATTTCCAACTTCCTGTCAACTGCATAATGATTCAAGGAGGCAGCCAGAAGGCAGCAGAAGGAGGGAGATGCCACCAGTCCTTGTTTAGATTGGAAGCAACTTCAATGCTCTGCAATAACAGCATTGGTTTAATGAATGGTGGTATGTGAACATAAGATCTTTACGAAATAGTACAAAGCAAGAAAAAGCAAACAGAACCAGAAGAATGGTGTAAACAATAGTTCTCACCAGGTGGCTTCTGGGGGTCCCTGAGATCATTTGAAGGACTCTGGGAAGTCCAAATGATTTTCATAATAATACTTAGATGTTTTAATTTCAAATGTGATAGTTAATGCTAGATATAACTCACATAAATAAAAACTTGGGGGATCCTTTATAATTTATAAAAGTGTAAAAGGTTCCTGAGACCAAAAAATTTGAGAATTACTAGAATAAAAACTATGATAGGATGAAAAATGACTGAAAATGATTAGATGTAGAATCCTGATGGGAATTTAGAGGGCAAAACTGAGAAAGCGCTGACTGAAATCAAATCATTTAAATGAGAGGCAGTGAGGCATCATGCCAAGAGAACTAGAGCTGGCCTAAAAGGACCAGGAAGGTCCTGGGTTCAAGAGCTGACTGACCATGCTGGCACTCTCAGGCACCCCTGTGAAACTCTCAGGCTCGAAACTGAAGAGTCTGTGCTCCCACCTTGATGAGAGGGGCTTCCCTATATCTATGAAATCATAGGCTCATTTCCACAACCCCATTCCCACCGGAATAAAAATTTCAATAAAGTATGGTTGTTTGTACTGATATTTAATTAAGTTTTTAATAAAATGTTTATTTTTTTTCAAGTCTCACCATCCACAATCAAGTTGATGATGGTTCCACTCTCACTGAGGCAGAAAGGGGCTGGGACTCTCTAAGGCTTTGATGACTCCCCCAATCACCATCAAAGTCTCTAAGGGACCATGGTCTGCCCTGGGGCAGTATAATAATTAATAATAATATTAGACATCTATGTAGCACTTACTGGTTTATAAAACGTTTTACATACATGGTCTCATTTAAGCCTTGCAATAATTCTGTCCGCTAAGTGCTATTATTATTTCCATTTCCAAATGTTCACATGGACTATTTGTGCCCAACTTGTGGTAGAGCTCTTCAAGCTCATATTGGCCTGATCAGGTACAGTCAGATGCATTGTACCTTGACCCCAATATAGTGATGTCATTTTGGTCCTCTTTGAGAATGAAGGACAATGGCCAAACAACCAACTATTTCTATCTTACAGATGAAGAAATAGATGCTCAGAGACATTAAGTGAAATGCCCAGGGTCACACAGCAGGATTTGAGCTCAGGTTCTCCTAATTTCCTACCTAGCACTCTATCTGCTATGCCAGGCTGTACCCACTCAAAGTTGGGATGTCCTAAGGAGGAAGCTGGACCCCTAGGGGGTCCTGGCCTCATTGGATGAGCCTTTGGTCAGAGTGTCTTCTACTAGACCCATGGATTACTGCAGAGAGCAATGAAAAGGACCAAGACTGGCAAGGCAGTCATAACCCATTGGAGGGTGGGGGGTGCCAGGCAAAGCGGACACTAAGAGGATGGGGAATGAGGTGATAGAAGGAGACCCCTAGAGTTTGAAGGTGAGGACCTATACTGTACTTGGATCCCAGGCTCTTCCATTATGTTACTGTGGCCAAGTCACTTCCCCTTCCTGGGCCTCAATTTCCTCCTCTATAAAATGAAGGGGTTGGACTAGATGTCCTCTGAGGTCCCTTCCGGCTCTCAGTTTGTGATCCTATGATCCCATCAGCAACATTAAGGGATAGCCCTGGATTCAAGTTCTGCTTCTGACACACACTGTCCATGTGATTTGGACAACAAATCAAGACCTCTCTGGGCCACAGGAAGCTTATTAAGACTATAGGGAGGGGCAGCTAGGTGGCACAGTGGATAGAGCACTGGCCCTGAAGTCAGGAGGACCTGAGTTCAAATCTGGCCTCAGACCAAACACTTGACACTTACTAGCTGTGTGACCCTAGGCAAGTCACTTAACCCCGATTGCCTAAAAACAAAAACAAAAACAAAAAACAAGGGAAAAAAAGACTATAGGGAACAGATGAATTGTATGGATCTGCATCAATGGAAGAAATTTCCATAATGGAAGTTTTCTACACTAATAAAGTAACAGATCTGAAGCGAGGAAATAAAATCCCTTCAAAAAGTACCTCACTTGACTGTGCTTTGAGCTACCCTGGGGAGCCAGGTCAATCTTTATTTGTAATTCTCTCACTGTAACTGGAGAGCTGAAAAGCGGCCTGACTGCATCATCACTGCCCAATTCAATAAAGTCCAGTGGCTGTCTATGACTGCTAAGGTCAAATAGGAACTCTTCTGTTTGGCCTTTAAAGTCCCAAGTGCCCTTTCCAGTCTCCCTTTACACAGTCACCAGTCTAGCCAGACTGGTCTTCAAGTTCATCCTCATACACTGGGCTCCCTGCCTTCTCACATTTGGGGGGTGTGAGCCCTCCACACCTTTGTCTCTTCTAGTTGTGACTTTCCTTCAAATCCCAGCTCAAAAAACCATCATCTACACAAAGACTTTCAAAACACGCCCAATGCCTTCCCACCCTCAGCTCCAGCCTGCTCCTCAAAAATATATTGTGTTCCTTTGGCATATACTTGTTTTCAATTATATTATTATAAATCATATTGTGTTTAGTAAATATTTGGTTTAGACTTACATATGTAATATATACATATGTGTGTGTGTATACAGTCATCCCTTCCACATCGAGACTTTCCCCATCATGGTTTCAATATAGCATGGGTCGGCATAAGAAATTAAATGGGGATTTTGGGGGAATTTCGAGGAAGCTGCAGACAACACTCGAAGGCCAGCAGACAACACAGAGTCTATGACCAAATACTTAACACCCCATAAACTAAAAAGAAAAAATTCAGACTTCTTCCTTGGTATGATGGGAAATGGTAAAAAAAAAAAATTTACGTGGATTTTCCAGATCCCAAGGAACACAGCACACCTAACCCTCACAATGCAGACGGGATAACTTGAGAGAGAGACAGAGAAAGACAGAGACAGAGACAGAGACAGAGAGAGACAGACACAGAGACAGAGAGAGTGAGTGAGACAGAAAGACAGAGAGAAAGACAGAGACAGAGAGACAGAGTGAGTGAGACAGAGAGAGACAGAGACAGAGACAGAGAGACAGAGTGAGACAGAGAGAGAGAGAGAGAGAGAAAAAGAGAGAGAGAGATTCTTTGTGTCTCCAGGGCTTAGCACAGTGTGTGGCCCATAGAAACCACTTGTTATCTCCCCAAAAGAATACATGCCCTTTGAGGGCAAAGACTTTCATTTTTGACTTTGTACCCCTAGTACCTTGGACAGTTCCTGGCACATAATAGGTGCTTAATAAATGCTTGTTGATTGATTGATTAATAGATAGTTCAGTTAGTACACACTGAACCATAGGCATCTCAGTGGCCTAGTGGCTAGAGAGCTAAACACTGAGTCAGGAAGACTTGAGTTCAAATCCTGCCTTAGATACTTACTAGCTGTGCAACCCTAGACAAGTCACTTAATCGTTGCCTCAGTTTCCTCATCTGTAAAATGGTGATAACAATGGCACCTACCTCCCAGAATTATTGTGAACATCAAGGGAGATAATATACATATAAAGTTCTTTGCAAACCTCAAAGTGATATATAAATGTCAGCTATTTTTGTTATTAATAAGGCCAAGGGCATAGGTATAGCACCAAGCAAGCCAGTTACTACAGCCACGAGCCATACCGAGCCCTCTAGCTACCTGTCTTTTAAATATATACCTTCAGTCATGAGGGGCAATGGGTGAGAAAGAGAACATAAGGAGAGTAAAATATGTTCATCTCCACTATCAAAGAAGTTCATGCTTTTCTGATTCTGGGTCATGAACATCCCGTTAACATAGATCTAATGCCTGCCCACACTAATCAGGCTTAGAACATTATTCTACAGTATCTGACATATGAAGGTGGTGAGAGAGCCAGAAGCAGGATGGATAAGAGAGCCAGATTTGGGGACAGGTTCAAGCCTCACCTCTGCTACTTACTAGCTGTATGATCCTGGGCACATCACTGTCCGAACCCCAGCATCTCTTCCTAATTTAGGATCAGGGTCCTAACGCCTCTAGGATGTCCCTTCCAGGGTTGTTATGAGACTAAAATGATATGTCTCGAAATGTTTTCTAAATGTAAGTGATTAGTATGTAGCGTTATTATTAGCTGAGTTGCACGATGCTGACGTCTCATTCCACAACTCATCTGAAGAGTTCAAGGACTCTGTTAAAAGCATCTCTCAATGGAATGGTTTGGGTGCATTGAATGGCTTCCACCCTCAGTCCTACCACTTACTGCTTACATGACCTTGGACAAGTCCTTTCCCCTTCCTAGACCTCAGTTTCCTCCTCTGTAAGATGAGGGGGCTGAACTTGATGGTCTCTGGGGTTCCTTCCAGCTCCAGATTCAGAGTCCTATGATCCTACAATCTGATCCCTCTTTCTTTGGGGATTCCTCTGTACTTAGGGTATTTTTTATATGCTGGACAGATTCAGAATGATGATAATAATAATAAACATTTATATAGCACTTTAAGGTTTATAAAGTGCTTTACATACATTCTCTTATTTAAGCCCCACAATACTCCTATCCATTAAGTGCTATTATCATCATCCCCATTTTATAGAAGAAATCAATGCTCAGAAACATAAGTGATTTGCCCAGTCACACAGCTGTTAAGTGTCCAAGGCAGGATTTGAACTCTGGTCTTTCCAGTTTCACATCCATCCACCATTCACTCCATCCACTATGCCCTGTTGCTTTTCAGATTCTTCACGAGTCTCTTACTGCTGCTGGGAAGCCTGAGCCAGAGCTCCTGGCAAGGTAGACTTTTTGAGGTGAAAGGACACTTACCGCTCGGATGGCTAGCCACACTTGGACATAACAGAGGAGGATGATGCTGAGAGGGAGGATGCAACAGGTGGACATAAGAACAATCATGTAGGACTGAACGCCAGGGTCGGAGCTGCCACTAAACACGTCAGGGCCACAGGAAGTCTTCAGCCCATGAGGCCAGTACCTGAGAATGAAGGGACAAGACTGAAACTGAGGGGCAGGAAGAAGACCAAGGCTTTGGGGCTACTGCATGACCTTATCACATAGGCTCTGGGGCCTGAAGTCAGGAGGAGCATGGGTTCAACAGCTGAGGAAGCTGAGGCCCAGAGTAGAGGAAGGATCTTGCCCAGGGCCACAAGATAAGGAGGAGCAGATTCAGGATTTGAAGCCAGATTCTCTGACTCCAAACCCTACAGTCTTTCCTGTGAGCCAACATGCACAATACTCCAAAAAGCATGTAGTAAGCACCTGCTGTGTTCCAAGCCCTTTGCTAGGCGCTAGGGATACAGTGGCAAAGTAGTCTCTGTCCTCTTATTTTCCTATCATTTTTCAGCCATGTACGACTCTTCGTTTCCCCATTTGGGGTATTCTTGGCAGAGATACTGAAGTGGTTTGCCATTTCCTTCTCCAGTGAATTAAGGCAAACAGAGGTGAAGTGACTTGCCCAGGGTCACACAGCTAGTAAGTGTCTGAGGCCAGATTGGAACTCAGGTCTTCCTGACTCCAGGCTTGGCAGTCTATCTACTGCAGCGCCACCTAGCTTAGGAGGTGCCTAATAAAGGATGACTGAGGAATACTATTCCCATCCCTCTAGAACACAGCTCCTTCTAGAGAAAATATACTAGACCCAAGTTCCAGGCCTGAAGTCACTGCTCAGGGCTCACAGGGCCTTCAGAGGTCAGCTAGCTCAAATCCCTGTTTTTTCAAAGCGGGAAACACAAGCGTAGCAAAGGGGAAACCAGATCACACTTTGAGAAATGCTATGACAGATTACAAACTCAGCTGGAGGGATCATCTCATTCGAACCCGTCATTTTTCAGAGGAGAAAACTGACGCACACAGAGGAGAAGAGCACTCCTTTATGCTTGGATCCTCATACCTCACAGCCTTCCTTTCTTTCTCTGGTCTAACCTTAATTCCTTCTGCTACAGTTTTAGCCCTTTCCTTGTCTTGCCTCTGCTTGTTCCTCACTCCCCCCTCCCCAAAGAGTTAGGAGGAATGTGGAGTGTGGGGGTCAAAGGACACCTGCTGACATCACCAAGAGTCAGAGGGCCCTCAGAGAGGAGCATGAGGGGGCATGGTAGAAACCTCTTAAAATTCTAAGTTAGCATTTTCAGAAGAACCACAGTAAGAGAGAGATAGAGAGAAAACACTTATTAAGTGCCTACTATATGCCAATCACCGTGCTAAGCACTTTACAAATATTATCTCATTTGATTCTCACAACAACCCTGGGGGTAGGTGCAATTATTATCCTTGTTTTACAGTTGAAGAAACTGAGGCAGATGGAGGTTAAATGACTTGCCCAGGGTCACATAGCTAGCAAGTATCTGGGCCAGATTTCAACCAGTGCTCTATCCACTGCACCACCTAAATGGATCAACAGAAAGACAGATGAATAAAGGAAGGAAAGACTGAAGAATGTCAGAGGTCATCTAGTCTAACTTCCTCATTTTACAGATAAGGAAACTAAGGCTCAGAGATGGAATGTGGAGCCCAAGCCGGTGTACCTGACTGAACATTAAGGAGATGAATCAACGTGAGGCACAGACTTGTTGGTCTCCTTTGCCTAAAAGAATCAAACTTCTTAATTTTCCAGATGGGAAAACTCAAGGCCAGAGAAAGTCCCAAGTGCCCAAGGTTCCAGCACAAGTTGGTGGTAGAAACAGCACTTGAAATCCTGGAGACAATGGAAGGGGACCCAAGTTGCCAGAGGCCTTGGTAGGGAATCAAACCCTACTTTGCTACCAACTCACTATGTGACCCTTAGCTGAACTCTGTCCCACTCTAGTCTGTAGTTTCTCCTCATGTAAAATGGGGAGAAAATTGGCATAATCTACTCCATAACGTGTCATAAGAATAAAACAAAACAATAGATGTAACGTAAAAGCACCACAGAAATGAAAATAATAGTGTATGGTAGAGAGGGCAGCTAGGTAGCACAGTGGATAGAGAGCTGGAGAAGGAAATATGTTTTTGTTTTTTTTTAGGCAATTGGGGTTAAGCAACTTGTCCAGGGTCACACAGCTAGTAAGTGTCAAGTGTTTTGTCTGAGGCCAGATCTGAATTCAGGTCCTCCTGATTTCAGGGCCGGTGCTGTATCCACTGCCCACCTAGCTGCCCCTGGAGAAGGAAATATGGCAAACCAGTCCAGTATCTTTGCCAAAAAAAAAAAACCAAAACCCAAATGGAGTCACAAAGAGTCAGACACAACTGAAATGACAGAACAACAACAACAACAAAAATATAGTAGAGATACTACTGAGGTGCAGTAGATAGAGCACCGGGCCTGGAGTCAGGAAGACTGGAGTTCAAATCCAGCCTCACACTTCCTAGCTGTACGATCCTGGGCAAGTCACTTATACCTCTCTGTGCCTCAGTCTCCTTAATTGTAAAATGGAGATAAGAACAGCACCTACTTCCCAGGGTTGTTGTGACAATCAAATGAAATCATATTTGTAAAGCACTTAGCGTATAGTAGGTGCTTAGTTGTTGTTTTTCTTCTTCCTTGAAGACCAATGACATCATGGGGCGACGTCTAGACTTGCTGGTGAATTGGATTTAAATGAGGCAGTAAGTCCTCAGCCTCACTTCCAGAGTGATGGAAGGTGCTTAATAAATGCTTGTTCGCTTCCCTGATTGACTCTCTTCAGTTTACTTTTCTTGACACAGTATTTATGTTCCCTCCCATCAAATTGGCCTGCTGGCCATGCACCTTACAGGGCATTCCATTTCCTGCCTCTCCTTCCTTTCCTTTCCTTCTTTTCCCTCATGTCTAAAATGTTCTCTCTCCTCACTTCTGATGAATCCAAGGCTCAGCTCGGATGCTCTTCCTAGGCCTCCTGCCCTTCCCCCACTCCCACAAGTTAGTAGCATTCTCTCTCTTGAAATCACTTTGTATAATATACATGTGAGTTTCCATACATCTGGGTTTCCTTCTTGAGCCAGAATTGGATCTCCCCAGTAGAGCAGAAGCTTCTCAAGGACACATCCTTTGTATAGCTATCACAGAGTCTTGCAAATTTGGAGGAGGGGGAAGGAAGGGAGAGGACATCCATAGGTATGATTTTGTTGGGAATTCCTAGTGAGTAAAGTCTCTCCAAAAGTATAGATCTGCACCTAGAATCACAAAGCCTATGACAAACTGACCACAGAAGGCATTTAATACATGTTTGGTGGATTGAATTGAATCAAGCTGCATATAATTCAAGACCGGGTGAGGTTTCTGTGTTTCATTTATTATTGTTAACAATAATAATAGTAATAATAATATTAACAATAATAATAATAGCTAATAGTAATAGCTCCCATTTCTCTGATACTTTAAGGTTTGCAAAGCACTTTGCTCCCACTAACCCTGCAGAGGAAACTGTAGAAATACCATTATTCCAATTTTACAGAGAAAACTGAGGCCCAGAGAACTGTCATGCAGCAAGTATGATATGTGATACTCTAAGGAAAGGATGGTTGAGCCCTATTTCTTGGAATGCTCACCTGCTCCAGCCAAATAGGGGTGGCGAAGTCCAGACAGCTGCCCAGACCCAGGAGAAGACGATGCCTACTATGGCCAGCTTAGCATCGAACTTCACATTACCAAAAGGCTTGCACACCACCACCCACCTCTCCCAGGAAATGATGGCCAGGGACCAGAGACCTGTGATGCCTAGAGAAAGAAGGGAGAAAAGCAAGGGATGGAGTCAGCAGGGACTGAGGTGAGGCCAACAGGGGAGCCAAGAGATCCTGAGGTGTGAAGAGACTGACTGCCTCTCATCTCTCACTCGGGCCCCCATCGATCAGCCCAGTGAGGGAGAGGCATCAGGACTTCCAGGGAGAGACATGCTCTCAGCCTCCCAACCACCCAGAAAAATTCCTTCTTTCCTTCCTCCATCCCTCCTTCCTTCCTTCCCTTCTCCTTTTCTTCCTTTCTTTTTCTGTTGTATCTCTTTCCTTCCCTTCCTTTTTTCTTTCCAACACTATGCAAATGTACATAAAATTCCTCATCTCTCGCCCTTTTTTTTCCCACTTTTTCCTTTCCTCCTCTTTTGTAGTCATTTGCTTTTCCATTCTCATTTCTATAGCTTGGCCACACCTTAACATTAGGGCGGCTCTGCCAAAGCCATAGTCATTTCTGCTTTCTGGCACTGCCTCTCACTTTCATAAACTTTCAGACCACTGGAGCAAATGCCATAAGACACGGCCAGGCTTCAGTTGGGGTTCACTTGCACAAGGCAGGAGCAGGTGGGAACTCAGCCCAGGCAATCATCTTGGAGAAACTGATCGTAACTAATCGTTCTTGTTATGTGAGTGCTAAGCTCTGATGCTTCTGCCTGGTGAAGGATTGAGAGAGTCCCCCCTTAAATTCTGTCCCCTCTGAATCAAGCATCACCTTAAGGCCCATCTCTGTTTCCAGGCTGCTCCTGGAGCTACCTTACCACATAGAGAGACAGTGTAGCCCTCCAGGACACACAGCGGGTGGCCCAGGATGAAGTAGCCATAGATCTGGTTGATGACACTGATAGTGCTTGCAATGATGGTCTCCCCCAGGTCAGCCACGGCCAAATTCACCAGGATCCAGTTCAGGGGGTGGCGCAATTTCTTGAACTTCATGGTTGCCACCAGCACCAGCCCATTGGTAAAAATGGATGCGATGACCACAAAGACCATCCAGAAGCTAGTGAGGTTGTATACCCAGCGTGGGGCGATGTGATAATTGGGACCTTCAAATGGGCCTACGGAAGGGGAGCATTGAGTGGTTGACGGGAAGGATTAGAGAGAAATCAGTCATGTAATGGACCCTGGGGTGGGAGCCCCCTCTCAAAAACCAAGTTGTCAGATGAGGCACTTGGAAACCATGTCCAAAAAGAACATCTCCCCCAACCAGGGGAGAAGCCCCGACAGCAAATGTTGGACTGCCTTCATGCTACCACCCACCAAGGGGGAAAGGCAATTCATGAAGCCTGGATTGGATTTCTCCTTCCATGACATCATTCCTAGGTTCAGAACCTTTCCTCCCTCCACCCTCTGCCCTCCTTGGTCAGCCTCCTTGGTGAGGCCTGCCCTGCTCACTAAATCCTTCAGTTTCCCCTCTCTGTCTTCAATGATGTTATTTCTGAGCAAGATTTTCTATGTCTCTGTTCTAGCTTCATGTTTCCCCCACTCAATCACTCAGTGATCTACCAGTGTCTCCTCGGTGACAGAAGGGGACCTGTGAGGATCTTCTACCTGGGTGGACACTTGCTTTGTTGACCCCTTTCCATTCCCAAATGAGAATGGCCTGAGCCTTTATCCACTCTACCCATTGATGTCCAGCCCATTGGCCTGGGGCAGGAAGGACAATGCACCCTGTTCACCAGTGACCTCTCTAACATCTTGGGCACACACTCACCCCTTGTGTTGTTGCTATTGGTATAAACAAAAAGGCTTGCCCGAGTAGTCTCCTCGCTCTCGTCCCGCCGCCAAGCCAAGAACCCTGCAGGGTACCCTGCCTGTGTCATGGCCCCCTTACTTTCTTCCCTTTCCCTTCCCTCAGCTGCCTATCCACAGCTCTTCCTCTGCTCTGAAGCCTTCCTCCACCCCTCCCCCACCTGCTGTCTGTCCTGGTGGTAGCCCAGTCACTGGGTTTTATACCAGCCTTACTGGATTAGCTGTGGCCTTCCTCACCTTCCAAGCTCCCCAAATGCTTAAACTTCTGATCTCTTAATTGGGCCAGGGGCTTAAGTCTCTCCACCCCCCTCCCCCCACCCCCATTGGCCTACCCAGGGAAAACCATAATCATTTTTCCCATCCATTTGCATTGGACAAGCTTGGAGAAGAGAGGAGTAGGGAAGAGAGGCCTGTGAGATGAGGAAGCCCTGGCCAGGCCCTGCAGCATCTTCCTGGTTTCCTTCTTCCAAGGGCAGGACTTGGGGTGGCTGCCCTGCCTTGCTCTCCTGGAGCTCTCCAGCCCTGAGGGCCTGTAGTGGTTCTTCAGATTGAGTGGGGGAGATGCTCTCTCCTCTTTTAACACTAACCCTAATTCCATTTCTATCAAATCCACTGTCCATCTTGAAAGACACTTCTCTGACACTAGAATCTGGGCAGGGGTGAGGCCAGGACATTGGGTCAAGTACTGAATCCAAGGGTTCAGGTGGCAGCCAGCTGCTCCCCTCCCCCTGTGCTCCCTCATGCCCCTTCTCTAGGTTGGCCAGCTCAGAGCATACTTCTGGTTGCGGGAGGCCTCCTCTTTCCTCTCCCTTTCAGATGGTCTCTCCTTCAATGTCAGAGCCCTCAGGCTGGCTCTTGGTTACTTAGGATCCCCCACTATAAAGGCCTACACAAAATCTTCCCTCTTAACATTTCCCTCTCTTTTCCCCAGGGAAGGAGGGAGGGAGGAAGGGAGGAAGGAAGGAAGGAAGGAAGGAAGGAAGGAAGGAAGGAAGG